AGTGAGACCCTGTCTCAAAAAACCAAAAAAAAAAAAAAAAAGTTTGTCTTTTATAGGTCTTATGCTGATGAATAAATTAATAACAGGTTTAGGGCTTTGAACTGTGCCTGCTTTAAAGAAACAGATGCTACCTGCTGGTGTGACTTGCAGTCATCCTGTGGTGAAATGATGCAGAGTATGTCAATGTTCTTTCTAGATAACTCAAAATCCCAAGAAGAAATTGTCTGTTTTGAATCACCACTTCATAAGACACCCAGCAAAACATTTTGAGGAAAACCCAGCAATCATTTCTGACCTAACAGGTTGGTGATGATAACATATTTTAAGTAGAACTTTTCAGGGCCGGGGATTTAGCTCAGTGGCACTGTGCCTACCTCACAAACACAAGGTCCTAAGTCCGATCCCCAGTACCACCCCAAAAAAATCAGTAAGTAGAACTTTTCATTTTTATTCTTAAGTAAATTTATTATTTGCAGATAAAAGTCTTTGAAATGGTAATACTGCCAGTACTATAATCCTGACATTTTATTAATTTCCCTTGATGGTGCTAGTGAGGCTCTTGGTTTGCAATAATAAGAGTAGGAAAGCAAGTTATAGGATGCTCTTAAAATTTTTTGTGCTAAAAATAACACAACAAATAGAGAGGGTGCTTCTGTGTGTTCATTTGTTTGCAGTGCTGGGGACTGAACTCAGGGCTTACACATGCTGGGCAAATGCTCTACCGCTAAATTGCATAAATGAGCCCATAAATGTGTGTAGCGTTAAACATTTAGTCTCCTGACAGTCACATAAAATAAGAGCTTTACTCATCTTGATACCTTTCAGTTTCTCAGTTTTGCTTATTCTTGAGTCTTTGCCAGCATATCTTCTGCTGGCAAACTTTGCTGTTAAATATAATAAGAACGGTTCTACTTTACTTAATGAAATGTCCCGTTTGGAAAATGAAATACTTCTACCTGTTGATGATTCCTTAAAGACGTCTGCACATCTGTGGCACTTTCATAAGTGTTGTGAGTGCCACGTGCTGTCAGCAGAGAGAGAACGTGTTCCTGGATTTGTCTCTGAAAGTAGTCAGGATTTAGAAACCACTTAGGGTCAGGAAGTGTTTCACCAGGATTCAAACAAATTATTTAATATTAAAAAGGCGAGTAAATTACTTTCCTTCACTTCAAGGGACATCTTTGTGGGTTCCGGTAAAAGTGTCCAGATGGACCTTTGTGGCTTACAATGTAAGTATCCCTCTGGAGGATTCTCTTTCAAAAATATTTTAATATTTATTTGTAAAATTTAAAGGGTTTTCATAAAGAGATAACAACATGCTATCTCCTCACAATTTAATAATTTCTTAATAATAAATATCTAGTCAATATCCAGTTTTCCAGTTGTCTAATGAATTTTTTCAGCTTGTATATTTAAATCAAGATCTAAATAAGGCCTTCAGGGTCATTGGCTATTCTCTTAGGCCTCTTTGATCTTCAGTACTTTCCCCACACTTGTTTTTCCTAGACACTTGTTGACAAGAGCAGGCCATCCCTCTATGTGATAGCTTCCCATGGTCCTGATTTTGCTGACTGAAATACTGTGGTCTTTCAGCTTATCCTTTACCAACCTCTACTCTGGTTTAGCAGGTTAGCTCCAGATGCTTGATAAGGTTCAGGTTTGTCTTTTGTTTTCCCTCTTGCTAGACTCTTTTTGTGATGTTAATAGCTGTTGATGAGGAACTCAAGTCATTAAATCATTTTGGAGGGTACTTCATTTATTAATTGGGCTGCTATGTAAAAACCTCTTGCCACATCTACTAAGTTTGTCAAAAGTGGAAAAAATCGTAGAGGAAGAAAATGATAATTGCTCAAATCTGTGGTCTTGCCTTCTCTCTACTGGTGTTCAGCGTAATGAGTTGGTTTGTTGGTGTCCTCCATCAATGGCAGTTAGATCCCCCCTCCCCAGAATGGGTATTAATTCGTGAATTTAATATATTTGTGTTTCATTCCACTGATGCTAAAATTGTTCTCCACTTGACAAGGAAAAGCCATTTTAACTTTGACTCCTTGGTCTTTCTGATACAGCTCTTGAATAGTTTCCTCATTGATGACAGGGTAGTTCAGATCATTTTGTATATCTCCTCTCCCAGAGCCTGAACCAGCTATTTCTTTTTGGTTTTGGTTTTGGTTTTTTATGACAGAGTCTCACTATGTAGTTCAGGCAGGCCTTGAACTCACTAAGGTAGCTGAAGCTGGCCTCGAACTCAGTGATCTTCCTACCTCAGCCTCCTGAGTGCTGGGATCACCAGTTATTTCTTTAAGGAGCTATTTCTTTATTTTGGGAAATATATCTTGGGACTATCTTCTAGCACTGCAAATGCTATGGATACTAGGTAGGCAATTCTAGGCCTTTTCAGTAGCCAGAGCTAAGTCTATTTTATCATAACTAAAGGGCCAAAAATCACCAAGGGAAAAAAAGTGTTCATACTGATACTTGTAGGAAAACTTCAGGACTACAGAGTTTATACCTCCTCCTTCTTAACTCCTTGTCTTCTGGCTCTCACTCCTAGAATGTTGGTTCTTGACAACACCAAGAATGACAAAGTAATTATTCATTTGCTGTATTCATATCTGTATTTTTGATGGTGAAATTGCCCACTCATGGCTATAATGAATGTTTTTCTTCTTTTTATAGGAATCTGATAAGATATATTTTACATTTCCTCTTGCAAAGCATAGAAAAAGCTACACACATGCCTATTGTCAGAGCACCATGCTGGTAAGATAATTGGTGTAATTTATGTAAATTTAAAAGGCTAACTATTGTTCATTTTTTAGATTTGACTAATAATCTAGTAGATTTTGATACTGAAACTATTCCCATTAAATCTAGTTGGTTGCAAAAGACTTGTTTGGAACAGGGTTTGGGTTAAAGTATTCATAGTTTTCTGAAACTGATGGTGTTTTACTACCTTGCACCTTTGGTCTTACCTTAGATTTTCACCCTTTCTGCCTTACTTTTACTGTGTTCAGGATGAAGGAACTGAATTCAGAGCCTCTTTAATTCTAAAATTCTATTGATATTTTAAATGATAAGTCTAAGTAAGCAGAGATATTACATAGAAATTTTATATAGTGAATCCTGTTTTCCAATGGCTTCCATTCTAAAATTATAGAAACTTTTTTTGCCAGTGCCATTGAAGACAGTGATTTGTACAATGTACTGTAGGCTTACTAAATCAAAGTAATGATTTTGTGTTTCTTTTTAAGGAATACTTACTGTGCTAGGTATCATATTAAAAAGTTAGATGCTCACTTTGACAACATATATACTAAAATTGGAATAATATGGAGATTAGCACATGCCCTATGCAAGGCTGACATACAAATGTGTGAGTCATTCCATATTTTTTAAATGGTAGGTGCTGTAGCATGCTTTTATAATTATATGTCAAATAATAATTTTCATAATTTTCCAACATTTATTAATTTATGAATTTTTTTGCCCAATTTGGAATATTTTTCTACTATTGCCTCAGGATTTTTCACATTATATCTACATCTTCAATAGTTAAAGTTTCTCTTTTCTCCTTTTTGTTAGGTTAATTCTACTTTTTAGAGCACTCATCTAATGTAGCATTTCACGGATAGATGTTGCTATTGATACATGGTATAGTCTGCAGAAGAGAAGATGGTCACCAGCCATGCAGACAGGGTTCTGAAGGAAGCCCCAGGTAGTGGAGTTGCTGGAGTCTGCAGCTCTCAGATGCTGGCATCTCTTACCCTAAGTCTAAGTGGGCAAACTCTGGCCCTGAGAATGAAGGTTTAAAATAGCCACACACAGACTGAATTTCGAAGTACTTGCCAAAGTACAAAAGTCCATTTGCTGATTGGAGGATCCCTGTTTTGTATTTAATGGTATGGACATTCATTACTATTAAGTGATGTCGTGAGCTTTAAAAATAATCTTTTCAAGCCGGGCGTGGTGGCGCATGCCTGTAATCCCAGCACTCAGGAGGCTGAGGCAGGAGGA